AATGAACGAAACCAGCACAGAGAGGCACGGAAACGGAGAAGCAGGGGAACAGGCTCCAAACAAGAACAAGGTGGAACCTCCGAAAAAGACCCCACGAAACAGGTCAGTGCTTCAACCAACGCGGAGCTCAGAGCGAAGGCGTGAGGACGTTCACCGCGTGCAGAAGAGCGAGGAGCAGTGTGAGGGCTTTGCAAAGACGCAGAACTACAAGCAGGTGCCAAACCGAAGCCACGAGCTGACGAATGGAATAATCGACGGGAAATACGACAGGGAGTCCGACAGCACAGCAGACGGAGCAGAGGGGAGGACCAAGAACCGAAGACCGGGCCGCGGGCCACCACGCAGAGCAGCAGAAAGGGAACGAGGGAGGGAGAGTGAGATGGTTTAGGGCAGCCGTGGGCAAACTACGGCCCGCGGGCCGGATCCAGCCCGTTTGAAATGAATAAAACTAAAAAAAAAAAAAAGACCGTACCCTTTTATGTAATGATGTTTACTTTGAATTTATATTAGTTCACACAAACACTCCACCCATGCTTTTGTTCCGGCCCTCCGGTCCAGTTTAAGAACCCACTGTGGCCCTCAAGTCAAAAAGTTTGCCCACCCCTGGTCTAGGGGGATCATGAGACGCGCCAGCCGACCACCATCCGCACGCAGGGGTCCCAGGAGAAGAGCTGGAGAAAGGGACAGGCACGGTCTAAAGAATTAACGGCCGACACGCCCCAACCCGGGACGGAGACAAACATCCAGGCCCCGGGAGCCCAGGAAGCTCCGATAGAGGAGCCCAGAGAGACCCTGCCCAGACATGAGAATTAAAACGCCGGCCCTTAAAGACAGGAGAGCACGTGCACGGAACCTGTCACCTCTCTGGGGCCTCCCCAAGACGAAGCAGATCTTTTGGCAGAAACGTGGCTGGGCAGACGGGAGAGGCCAGACACCGGCAAAGTCCCGGAGGGAAGGGAAGTCCTCCCAGCAAGAGCGCGCTCCCTGGTGGCACCGCCCGTCAGGGCCGGAGGAGAGGTTTCCAGACACACAAACGCGGACAGAGCCCACCGCTCTGGGCCTGCCTGGCAAGACGTCTTCAAGGGGCTTCGTTACCCTGAGAGAAAGGGGGTGATTGGGGAGGAAACACACAAAAGTACAAACGTTGCCGGTAGAGAGAAACCTACAGTAAAACGCAGCTTGATCTGATGTTGCGAAGGTGGGGGTTAACCTCGTCGGAAGCTAGTATGAAGGTTAAAAGATAAAAGTGGTAAAAAAAAACCACAGTCACTGCAGTCTTTGCTGAGGGACACACAGGATAAAAGAGGCAAATTGTGACACCAAAGACGTAGAGCGTGGGATGTGGGGAGCAGAACTATGGAGCTTTAGGACGCGTTCAGACTCCAGCTGTGATCAATCTAAAACAGGCTGTTACGAACGTAAGTTGCTTTATGTTGGCCTCCTATATATAACCAGAAAACAACATCCTAGAGTAACACACGAAAGGTAAAGAGGGAAAAATCCAACCATCAGATACCATCAAATCGTAAAGTAGGAAAGAGACAGAGCAAGGAATGAAGAATCGACGAAACAGCCAGAAAACAATGAACAGAGCGGCATGAGTCCCTATCTACCAACAATTTCTTTTTAAAAAAATATATTTTATTGATTTTTCAAAGAGGAAGGGAGAGGGACAGAGAGTTAGAAACATCGATGAGAGAGAAACATCGATCAGCTACCTCCTGCACGTCCCGCACTGGAGATGTGCCCGCAACCAAGGGACATGCCCTTGACCAGAATCGAGCCTGGGACCCTTCAGTCCGCAGATCGATGCTCTATCCACTGAGCCACACCGGCCAGGGCTATCAGTAATTTCTTTAAATGTAAATGAAATAAATTCTCCAACCAAAAGACACTGAGTGGCCGGAGAATTTTTAAACAGACCATCTACATGCTGCTGACAAATGACTTGCTTCAGATGGAAGGACACACAGACCAAAGTGAGAGGAAGGGCAGTAACATTCCTGCAAAGGAACCAAGTGGAGCGGAGAGCGGTGCTGAGCAGAATGAGCTCCAGGACAAAGGCTGCACGGAGAGGCGAAGACGCCACTCCATACGGTGAAGGGGTCAATCCAAGACATGACACAACATCCTATCTAATAAAAGAGAAACATGGTAATTAGCCATACCTCCACTACCCTTCCCATTGGCTAATCAGGGCGATATGCAAATTAACTGCCAGCCAAGATGGTGGACGGCAGCCAGGCAGCTTGAAGCGAACATGAGGCTTGCTTGCTTTAGTGACAGAGGACTCCAACGTTTCCTGCCTGCCTTGCCAGCCTCTGAGCTTGCAGTTTGAAACATTGTTACAAATATAGAAGCTAAACAAAATCCCAGAAACCTGCTTTCAGCCAGTGGGATCTCAGAGCTGGAGTTGAAACAGTGTTTCGATTATAGAACCCAAACAAACCGGATACCTGCTTTCAGCAGCAGAGACCTCAGAGCTGGAGCCAAGCCTCAGAGCTAAAGCTGGCCCAGAATAAAATAGAAAAAGAAAAAAAGGAGCAGTTGGGAGCTTCAGTCACCCACCAGGCAGAAAACAGCCCTCGGCCCTTCAGCCGGATTGGCCAGGCACCCCAATAGGGACTCCCACCGTAATCCAGGACACCCTTCAGGGAAAACCAGCCAGCCCCCACCCATGCACCAGGCCTCTATCCTGTATAGTAAAAGGGTAATATGCCTCCCAGCACCGGGATCAGCAGAGCCGAGAGGCCTCCCGGCACCGGGATCAGCGTGACAGGGGGCAGCGCCCAAACCCCCTGATCAGCCCTGCTCTGTGTGTGACAGGGTGCGGCACCCCAACCCCCCAACCCCCCCACAGGCCCTGCTCTGTGTGTGACGGGGTAGAGTCATAACCTCCCCATTGGCCCTGCCCTGAGTGTGACAGTGGCAGCGCCCCAACCCCCTGATCGGCCCTGCTCTGTGGGTGATAGAGGGTGGCGCCCCAACCCCCCCCGCCCATGGGTCCTGCTCTGTGTGTGACAGGGTACGGAGCCCCAACCCCCCTGATCAGCCCTGCCCTGTGCGTGACGGGGGGAGCTCCCCAACCCCCTGATGGGCCCTGCTCTGTGCGTGACAGGGGGTGGCGCCCCAACCTCCCCATCGACCCCGCCTTGAGTGTGATAGGGGGCGGTGCCCCAACTCCCCAATCGGCCCTACCCTGAGCGTGACTGAGGGTGGCATCACAACCTCCCAATCTCCCTGCTCTGTGCATGACGGTGGGCGGCGCCCCAACTCCCCAATCGGCCCTGCTCTGAGCCCGATCAGGGGCTGCACCTAGGGATTGGGCCTGCCCTCTGCCACCCGGGAGCAGGCCTAAGCCAGCAGGTCGTTATCTCCCGAGGGGTCCCAGGCTGCGAGAGGGCACAGGCCGGGCTGAGGGACCCTCCTCAACCCCCGCCCCGAGTGCACAAATTTTTGTGCACCGGGCCTCTAGTCCTATATAATAAAACCCGAATATGCAAATTGACCACACGCAGAACCACGGATCGCTATGGCACGCACTGACCACCAGGGGGCAGATGCTCAATGCAGGAGCTGCCCATGGTGGTCAGTGTGCTCCCACAGGGGGAGCGTGGCTCAGCCAGAAGCCGGGCTCATGGCTGGTGAGTGCAGCGGCGGGTGGTGGGAGCCTCTCCCGTCTCCACTGCAGGAGGGTGGTAAGGAGTGGGGTGTCCCGGACTGTGAGAGGGATGTCTGACTGCTGGCTTAGGCCCGATCCCCAGGGGGAGCAGGCGGACATCCCCTAAGGGGTCCTGGACTGTGAGAGGGTGCAGGCTGGGCTGAGGCTCCCCCTCCCCCGACCTGCTCAGTACACGATTTCGCACACTGGGCCTCTAGTTTGTAAATATTTACGCATTCAGCTCAGAAGCACCTAAATACATAGACAAACATTAGCAGACCTGCAGGAGGACTAGCAACACGACGATAACACGGGATGTTCATGCCCCACGTTCACCAATGGATTGATCATCCGGGCAGAAAATCAATAAAGAAACATTGACCTTCATTGACGCGTTCGTTCTACCAGACGGTCCTCAGAGACATTTCCAGAACATTCCACCCAAAGCAGCAGGACGGCCATCCCTCCCCCGCGCACGTGGGACATCCTCCGGGACGGAGAACAAGCCGACGGACTTGAGACGATGGAAACCGTGTCGAGCATCTTCCCGACCACGTGGCCTGAAGCTGGAAATGAGTCGCAGGAAGGAAACCGGAAAACCCACAGGTACGTGGAGATTGGACCCCACGCGCCTGAAAAACCCAACAACGGGCCAAAGAAGGAAAAAACAGCCCGAGGCACACCATCCCGAGGAGGAAGTTTATAGCAGAAAGGCTTCGTCAGCAGCAAGAACCGTGGCTCACTGCTCCCCGAGCACCACGCTGCCGTGGAAAAGGAGGGACCGAGAGCACGGCGCCCGTGAAATAAGCCGGTCGGAGGAAGGGAGGTGTCCCAGGGCCTCTCATTGTGGAAGATAACGAACAACAAGAACTGAGGAGGCCTTTACGGGATGAGGTCCTCCGCGCGGCAGCCTCTTAACTCCCTGTTACTCAGAGCTCAGGAGCTATTGCATGTGTGTGTGTGTGTGTGTGTGCACGTGCGTGTGGGCATGTAGGGGTAGCTGCGTGTCTGTGCGTGAGTGTGTGTGTCTGTGCGTGTCTGGGTGTGTTTGTGCATGTGCGTGTGTGAGTGCATCTGTGTGTAGGCGTCCCACCCCCACCACAGATGCCCCCTCCCCTGCGCAGTGGGGCACAGCA